TCTTGCAAGAGATAAATCATTGTTTTTTGTTATTTTTCATTCCTCCTACATCTACACCTTGATGTTTGCATTTACTGAAAGAAGTGGAGTTTTCTTTACATGTGGACCAGACGCTTGTGACCCGACTAGTCATACTCTTGAGGGGGGTAAAGCAATTCACAGAATCTTCTCTATTTGAACAGTGGGCTTTCAACTCAAGTGTTTTTGCTAAAGAGTCAAGTTACCTACCCTCTTCTCCTCTGAGTCAGAGTCGAACAACCAAGATCGAAGGGACAATACACACATCTGTTGTTGTTGTTAAGTGCCGTGGAGTCAAAAATAACTATTTGTGTGTGTATGTGAGATGAATAGAGTACACACATCTAGTAGTTCAAAAATAACTGTGTGTGTGTGTGTGTGTGTGTGTGTGTGTGTGTATGAGAGAGATGGAGAGAGAGGGAGAGAGAGAGAGAGAAAGGAAGAATTGCACTTGAAACAGAGAAACTGAATAAAATTTAACCAAAAAGCAAAGATAAAAACTATAGGGTTGGGAAGCAATTCTCTGAAGGAAATTTAACTTGAGAACATATAGAAAATGAAAACTCAGTCTAAATCAAAATGGAGGAGAAAGCCCAGCCTTCACCCTCTTTGTACCAGGATGGGAACTCCTCAGCCCAGTGGGAGGCAGCCTTTCCTGGGTTCAGAGACGGAATCTGGCGCCCCCATATGGTCTTCAGTCCCAATACAGCTGGTTGACAGTGAGCAAGGTACTTCATTTTTCATTTCTTCAGTTACTTCAAGTAATATTTAGAGTAATAATAGGACACAAACTCTTCACAGTTTATGCTGTGGGTAGTCTGAATGAGAATTGAATGTGTTAATATTGACCTAGACCAAGAACAGCAAATTCTCCATCCCCATCAAAAGTAATATCTGTGGGTTTTTTTTTTAAAGAAACCTTGGTGGCATAGTGACTAATCCTTTGGCTGCTAACTGAAAGGTCAGCAGTTTGAACCCACCAGCCTCTCTGTGGGAGAAAGATGTGACAATTGTCTTCCATAAAGATTACAGCCTTGGGGTAATTCTATGGGGTCGTTTACTGTGTCCTATTGGGTTGACATGAGTCAGAATCAACTTGATAGCAGCATTTTTATTTTTGCTTTAAATGTTTTTGTTTAATATA